TGAAATGAGACAAAACCAAGAAACTAGAAAAGAATGATAGTCTGTTTTATATAATCAAATTAAAATTTGCCTTTCTGCAAGTAGAACCACAAATAAATTTACCAAGTCATAGACATTTTCAATCATACCAAAGAAGAGGAAATCAGCTCCACTATCGACAAATATCCCCAAATTAATTTTTACAAAGACAAATGACAAAACAAAATTGTAAGATAAGAAAAAATGACCAACAGAAGAAAAAGAATAGATATATGAAAAGATGTTTAACTTTATTAGTTATTACAGGAATATTATTTCAAGCTATTATTTTCGATGAGAAATGTTGATAGAAACTAAAATGAATGATAATAGCCAGAATTTCAGACAGGCAATTGAAATCAAACAGTTTGATGTAGAACTTTTATTTCTAAGTTACTAGCTTATAAAAAATACTTGTAAAAGTGGGCAAGATAGATTCAACATTATATTCTTTGTAGTATTACCTATAATTACAATAAAATGCCTAAATCAAGACATACAACGTGGAACGAATGGAGTAAGACTACATCATGTACTATATAATGCACTATATCTGTTTAAAACATGAATTTCAGGCCAGCAGAACGGCTCAGTAGGTAAAGGTTCCTACTGCCAGGCCTGATGAACTGAGCTTGATCTCCACATGGTCTAAGGAGAAAACAGACTTCTTTAAGTGTTTTCCTCTGACTCTCATGAACACAGACACAAAAAGAACCTAGTAATAACAAATGAAATGCAAAATGACTTTGTAATGAATGGAAAGTTTGTATTATTAAACCTTAAACCTATATAATATGTAACAATATATAATAATTCTATTCTGTGAAACACTCAACAATAGATGGGCATTAATAAACAAATCACTAAGAAGAGTAAAATAATCATAACAACCTCCATTAGGAAAGGAATGTTTTCATGTTTTACTCTATGTATTACTGCCCTTGTTTACCATTTACCATAAGCATGTATTTGTGTGGGAGGGTGCATATATATGATCAGGAGTGTATGTGCACATGTGCACACAGATATACATGCATTGTGAACACTTGCATTTCAGGCTCCATGTTAATTGTTAAGACAGGATCTCTTAATGAATTTGGAGCTTATCAAATTTGCTACACTGGCTAGTGAGCCCCAAGGATCTGCCTGTCAACAATTGGTTTGCAGATAGATACTACCATTTTTATGTGTGTGCTGGTCATCGAAACTCAGGACACCATGCTTGTGTGGCATGTACTTTACCGAATGACCCATTATTATTTAATAAAAATAAATATAAGCTCAACCTGGCCTGCTTTGGAACTACTTTTGCTAAAATTTTAGGATATATATTCTAGTTCCTTTTCTGAAGATATGTATGTCATTTCCCATCTACAAGCCATGAATATAATGAGAGTATTCCTCTTACTGATAATACCTTATGAAGATTGTTCTTTCAGGCATAAACTGAATCTTCTGGAAAGTAACTATCATATCTTATATTTTTTTTCTTAAACATCTTCAGTTGTTGGCATCTGGATTGCTTGTATTTTTTCTGTTATAAAACACAATGACATTAACAACCTTTGACTCAGTAACTTCTTATTTTAATTATTTATTCTTAATATATAAACAAGTTTTCACATATTACATACTGTACTATAGTGTAATATGATACAGCTTGGGTACTACCCAACCTGTACTGTACCATGTGCTTATCAAAACTTGTTTTAATAACAGTAACATGTTGGAAGGAATATGATGCCTACTAAAGGGAGATAAAATAAGTATATCTTATATTAAAATCATAACATAAATGCACAATTTACTGTTGTGGAAATTTACAATTTATTATGTGAAAAACTAGGTTACATAGTGGATTCTTTCCATTTTGAAAAAGAAAAATGCTGAAAATTCTGGAAGAACATGTCAAAGTCTTTATAATGAATTTCTGTGAGAATTGAGATAATTTGAGAATATACTTTTTCACTTTATATTTTAAAGCTTTTCAATAAGACAGTTACATGTACATTTTTAAAAACAAATAATAAACTTTGTATATGATTATTTAAATGGTTTTCTTCAAAATGAGGTATATTTTGCATGGAAAGAACTATGGGAAAAACAGTAAAATTATTTTTAAAATTCCACACATTCTTCTTACTCTATGATAACCAGTTCATGTTCTCTAATAGTCATTTGTCTATGGTTATATAGTTTAGAATAGCTGTAGCCACACTTTATCATCAAAATCATCAAAATGATTGTGAAACTAAAATTACATAATGAACAAATCATAAATATTTAAAGACAAGTAGTATATATAAATAACACATTTACTTATTAGTTCCTTTAAAGATAGAGCTAGTGACTAGGGAGTTAACCCAACTAGTAAGATATATGCTTTACATACATGAGGAGTTATGTTTTTAAAAGGCTAAATGTAGTGGGGTGTCCTTGTAATTCCAGCACTGTGGTAGGGGAGCAGAGACATATGGACACCTGGGGCCAGTTGGCCTAACTGGAAAACTCTAGACCAATACGAGACCTTGGATCAAAACAAACAACAAAAGAACAAGGCAGATGGCTTCTGAAGAATGACACTAAAGTCATCTCTGATTTCTATATGCACACAGTATATGTGTGTGTATGTAAACAATGGTGTAACTGCACATATATGCATGCATACACACAAAATCCATTTTTGTTATAGCCAGTAGGGATGAGGAACATCATTATGTGTGAACCATCTATACTTTCTTTTCTAAGTTCAACATCTTAACCACCTGGCTATCACAGCCTTATAAAACTTATCTATCTTTCCTTGAGACAAGATTTCTTTAAATATTCCAAGCTGGACTTGAACTCTCAAACTGCCTGATTTAGTCCATAGAATGCTAATATTACAGGCACCACACTCAATTTGCATTATTGCACATCAAAAATAATTTGTATAAATGCTTTGAATAAAATGTTTAAAATTATAAATTTTCAGTGTTGTTGATTAAGACAAAAATGGAATAGTGAAGGAAAAAAGAAGCTTAAACAACACATCAAACCCATTCCTATTACTCTAATCAGGTAAAGCACCTCTGTTATATAAATCACAAGCTTACTGTAGCGACCCCAAAAGAAACTAGATCCTTCAGCATCAGCATAAATTTGAGTTCTGTGGGAATGCTCTTCTTGACTTTGAAAACTCTTATAGCATCCTATAGTTGCTTTTTTTTTTTTTACCACAACTGAAAATCAATTAATATCTGTACTTTGCATGTAATCCCCAAATAATTTCAAGCTCTATTAAAAATGCCTGGCACAAATTTGGCGCTCAATAAATATTTATTGAATGAATGGATGGATGGATAAATGAAGTGATAGCACTTTGTCAACTCTAATTCAAAAGGTATTGATATTTCTGTTGTTGTTGTTACTTTTTATCATACTGATAACTAGAAATCTTCAGCTATTACTTGTCTAACTAATAGCTCTTTATATGGCTTCTAAGTTTTTCATGTCATCCAGAGGCATAAGTAGCAGTATTGCTAGAAGTGCCTGAGGAGAGCTGAGACTTAGAGAAAGGAAAAAGACAGCTCTCTAGTTCAGCAGCCTGGGATTGAAGTTGTAGTTACCATTAGGTGGATACAATGCAGTGGTCAGGAACCCAGGAAGTCAGTGATATCTGAAGAATCAGGAAGATCCTGGAGGTCAAAAACAAACTAACAGTAAGTGATCTAGAAAGTATGGTTAAGACTGGAGAATGGTGACAAGGTATTAAAATGGAAGGAAAAGTTAAATTTCCAAGCATTAAAATTCCAAGCATGAAGCTATGGTGATGATACTAAAGTAAGGTGTATTTGAACTCAGTACTTCACTGTATCTTTTTTATCAAAGCTGGTATCAGGGAATATTTGCACCTACTTTCAACAGAAGCAAGGAGATGGTATAGTTCCTGGTTTTAGGATGACTCTATTTATACAAAATGAGGTTCTGCCATGTTTGTACATGAGATTTTATAGTACTCTACATACAATATGGAAACCATAAAAATTCAGTTCTCTTCACTGTCATCTTGATTGATTTTCATCATCAGATACAAAAAAAGAGCATAGTGATAGAATCATAGATTCTGGAAATAGGCTAGTTGGGCCCAGTCCTAGCTTTATTATTTACTAGTTGTGTCCTTTGGACAAGTTACTTCACCACTATTATACCTGTTTCCTTATCTATAAAGCAGAGATAATAATAACTCTTATCTCAATGGGTTATGAAGATTAAATGAATTAATGCATGTAAGGATCTTAGAACAGTGCCTGGACACAGTAAATGCTATGCATTATTGTTATTATTATTATTATTATTATTATTATTATTATTATTACCACCACATAGGAACAAATATTTTTCAAAACAAATATGTGCTATTATTTTCACCAATATTATAAAAATTATAGTCTTTAAGCATGAAATTTTCTCATTAAAAAATTTCACTTGTGCTTGAACATAGTTAATTCTCAAAACTAAAACCTTTACCAAAGTTGTAAAATTACTACATCAATTCTATAAAATCTCTTTCTTAACACAATACTTAAAAATTATAAAGAATATACATTTCCAAATATCAAAAAAATCACTAAGAGTATTACTGTTGGCCTCCAAAACTTGGTCTGTAAGAGGAAATATGCTTTTAAATATTTTGAAACTAGTTCTACTAAAAACAGGAATAGTTAATTTGAGAGGTTAGTCTAAAATTATCTGCACTCAGAAAGAATTAGATGGGAAAGATTAGATATGAAAAATCCCCAAGCTAGGGAAATATTAGGAAAAAATAAACTATGAAACAACTTTCAATACCTGATACGGCAGACACTGGAAAACCTGAATATCAGATAACTGATACACTGGAGACACTGGAAGATGCAGGTATTGAGCCTGTTGATGGAAGACTGGGTAGCTGTAGGAAGACATGAAGATGTTGGAAGACACAGATGCTGGAAGACGTGGAGATGTTGGAAGACAAGCAGATGCTGGAAGCCCTGGAGATGCTGGAAGACCTGGAGGTGGAGGAAGACATGTACTCCTTGGAAGATGTGGATTTGGGGGAAGACGTGGATTTTTCGGGAAGACGTGGATTTCCGGGAAGACATGGATTTTCAGGAAGACGTGGATTTTTCGGGAAGACGTTGATTTTCAGGAAGACGTGGATTTTGGGAAGACGTCGATTTTTCAGGAAGACGTCGATTTTTCGGGAAGACATGGATTTTGGGAAGACATCGATTTTTTGGGAAGACGTGGATTTTGGGAAGACATCGATTTTTCGGGAAGATATGGATTTTCAGGAAGACGCTGATTTTTGGGAAGACGTCGATTTTGGGAAGACATCGATTTTTCAGGAAGACATGGATTTTTGGGAAGACGTGGATTTCTGGAAGACGTGGATTTTGGGAAGACGTGGATCTTCGGGAAGACGTGGATCTTCGGGAAGACGTGGATCTTCGGGAAGACGTAGATTTTGGGAAGACGTGGATCTTTGGGAAGACGTGGATTTTGGGAAGACATCGATTTTTCAGGAAGACATGGATTTTGGGAAGACGTGGATCTTCGGGAAGACGTGGATCTTGGGAAGACATGGATTTTGGGAAGACGTGGATCTTCGGGAAGACGTGGATTTTGGGAAGACGTCGATTTTTCAGGAAGACGTGGATCTTCGGGAAGACGTGGATCTCGGGAAGACATGGATTTTGGGAAGACGTGGATCTTCGGGAAGACGTGGATTTTGGGAAGACGTCGATTTTTCAGGAAGACGTGGATCTTCGGGAAGACGTGGATTTTGGGAAGACATCGATTTTTTGGGAAGACATGGATTTTGGGAAGACGTGGATCTTCGGGAAGACGTGGATTTTGGGAAGACGTGGATCTTCGGGAAGACGTGGATCTTGGGAAGACATGGATTTTGGGAAGACGTGGATCTTCGGGAAGACGTGGATTTTGGGAAGACATCGATTTTTTGGGAAGACATGGATTTTGGGAAGACGTGGATCTTCGGGAAGACGTGGATTTTGGGAAGACGTGGACTTCCTGGAAGCTATGGATTTAATGGAAGACATTGATTTTCTGGAAGATGTGGATGGAAGACAAGAAGATCACTGGAAGACAATGATATTGGGAAGACATGGATTTTCAGGAAGATCTGAATTATACGGAAGATCGAGATTGATTGGAAGACATGGATATGTGGAAGACTTGAGAGTTTCTGGAAGACATCAATCATCAGGAAGATGTATATCTTCAGGAAGACATACCTTTTCTGGAAGACCTGGAGGTTATTGGAAGACATAGATCTATTGGAAGACCTGGATTTAGTGGAAGACTTGGGTTTCTGGAAGACTTGAATTGGTGGTAGACATAAATTAGCTGGAAGACCAGAATTTTTCTGGAAGAACTGGATTGACTGGAAGACACTGCTTTTTCTGGAAGACATGGACTGGCTGGAAGACCTGGGATTTTTATGGAAGACATGGATTGATGGGAAGACTTGGATTTTGTGGAAGACTTGGATTTTTCTGGAAGACGTGGATTCTTCTGGAAGACGTGGATTTTCCTGGAAGACATAGATTTTTTTCCTGGAAGATCTGGATTCTATGGAAGACTGGATTTGCTGGAAGACTTGGAGATTGTCTGGAAGATCAGCATTGTCTGGAAGACCTTGACATTGTTGGAAGACTTGCAGTTGCTGGAAGACCTGGAGATGTTGGAAGACCTTGATACTGGCACCACTGGAAACCCTAGATATTGGAAACATCATAAGCACAGGATTTTTGGAAATACTGAATGTTTGGATGTTTGATACTGAAAGCCATATTCTAGAAGTTTGGGATATTGTAGTTTGAGCCCCTAGTCAATAGTTTTATGAAGAACAAAAGACCTGGACATTTACAAATCACAAATTCAAAAACCCCACCTGTAGACAAAACATAAATAACATCAATATTGCCATAGTTCTGTTAAAAAACCAACATAATTCATAAGAATTATGTTTAAATGATACTGGTAACCCTAGATATTAAGAGCTCTAGAACCTTAAAGATCTAGTTATTTACAGGTTCAGAGTAATAGAACACCTGAGTGTTCGAAAAAGAGAGATCCCGTCAGGGAAGAACCAGCAATAAAAAGCCATTATTGGAGTTAAGAGAACGTGAAGGCTGGATGACAAGAGAAAGGGGCAATGAAATGGTATATTCTGGGCATTGTCATTGCTATCATCATCAACTCACAATAGATGTAGTTACCATTACTGATACTCTTATAAGATGGGGTTTGTCAATCAGAGATGAGGAAAGGACTCATGGGATCCTTACTTTCCTTAGGGAACTACTTAGGGAACTACTGGCTACTTACTGATACTAGGATAAGGGGAGTCACTATGTTCAGATATGACTTTGGTGTGCCTCCCATACTTCAAAGCATAGTTCCATACCCATGATCACATGAATGGCCCTGATTAAACTCCATGGGTCACAAAACAAAAATTCATGAATGTAGTAAACAGATTTCTAGTGAGTATGAAGAATGGCATGAATAAGGAAGAGATTAGAATGGATGGAGATTAGAGTAATCATAATGCATTATATATACATACATGAAATGGTCAAATAATAAATTTGATTTTTAAAAAGATACTATAAAATCAAGATTTGAAGACATTAATAGATAATAATAATAACCTGGTTACTGAACAATATACTGGGAAAGCTAATCTTAGGTGCTATAAAATAAATGGACTCTAGAAGCCCTGCAAATGAGACATATTGAATAATTGGAACCACAGAAGTTCTAAAATGTATTACTCTGGACTGTGAAAGACAAGGCTTGACTTTAAGTAGTGATAAAATCATTAGAAGACTTAAAACTTTTAATAACTCTAATAATATATTGGATAGATAATAAAACACAAGCATTAGAGATACTTCAGGCCAGAGACCAGAAAATAAGGATATTGTAATATGAGAAAAATTGAGTTATTGAAAGTGTTGTCATCTATGGAACTTAGAAGACCTGAATTAGATTTACTGAAAGATAGAAGAAAGGCCTGATCTTAGAAATTAGAAGAGTATGTATAAAAATATTGGTAATATTTAACACTTCATATTCAAAGATAATCAAGCCATAGCACAGACTTTTATGATCACACCATCTTTTCTACTAAAATGCAAAGCAAGGGCAAGGGCATTTTAAGTAGATGACAAAGAGGAAGTAAGAAATTCAAATTTTAAAAAATGTAATTTGAAAATGCCAGAACCTATCTCCACAAACTCAATTAACTGACCCTTTAGCATTTATGGGTTGATAGAATGAATGCCAGTAGGATGGAAATCATCAAAGAATATATAGTACCTTTAATTAGAAAAATTACTTGTTCTAAATCAAGGTTCAACAAATATGTTCTGTAAAGGATTGGGGTGTTGAAATGTAGTGGTCTCCATTGAAACTACTTGATTACACTATTAGTGTAAACACATATAAGGAAAATTATAGTTAGAGCTACACTCCACTAAAACAATTTGTTTTAAAACAAGCTTGGGTGGGTGGATTTGGCCTAAAGGCTGTAGTTTGCCAACTCCTGCTCTTGATGTCAAATCTAGAGTATAGTAAACTTAATAACATCCAAGGTTAGCATTCACATGCAAGAGTACAGATGCAACATTTTTAATCCTAGTGGTACAAAAGGTATTGTGTAACATGCTGAAAATCAGGAGTAGAGGCTGGCAATTATTTAGGTGCCCTTATATTCAGAACCAAAATTAAATGGCCCCAAAACAAAGTCCTACTCAAGGAAGATGATGTTCAGAAGCTAAAGGATTATACACACACATACACACACACACACACAGAGAGAGAGAGAGAGAGAGAGAGAGAGAGAGAGAGAGAGAGAAAGAGAGAGAGAGAGAAGGGAAAGAGAGAATCCACCCCCTGTAGACTAAACATACATGATGGAGACAAGGAAAATGAAGGAACTATAACTTGGTAGGGTCATCTCATGAATAAAATTATAGGTAAAGTTCTGATCTAACTCACTAGAACTTAAGTAACATCCATGAGATGAAAGCTGAGGTATAGCCCCAAGTCCCTTACTACTTACATAAGGCTTAGGAGAACAGGAATTGGCTTGTATATTGTACACAGAGAACTCAAGAAGTCAAAACTAGTAAGGTGTACTTGGAATGGCCCATGAGTTAAAAATCAAACAGCTATCAAAGAGACAATGAGCATTCATTGTGGGTCTTCTTACAAGGAAATATGTGGGTTAAAAACAGTCATGACAGTCATGAAGAGAGATACTAAGTTGCAAAGACTACTGGGCACATACAGTCATACATATAGTGCCCAGTATATACCAAATATTCCAAGTTGAAAAAAAGGAGTTTTGATGGAAGGCAGCTGCACTAATACTAGTAAGCAGTAGTCTAAATTGAATTGATGCAATGAAGGAAGTATAGCTCTAAAAATAGTCTTAATCAACACTATATTTTCTGAATACCACTCCTTAAAAATTCCTGGATGCCATGATAAATGTATGAAATATCAAGAAGTTCAAATTGTGAAGAATGTCTCTTGCCTAGTAAGAATACTTTGCCTTGCAGTTATTTGAAAGGAAACTAAGTAAAAAATGTAATGGTAAAGAAGGTATTATATACAGATTTATCATCACTCCCTCCATCAGAGTGCCTCATTCATCTTTAAGGTGGAACTATGAGTACAGGAATACATTTATGTCAAATCACCAGACAAATCAACATCATGCAATAGTAATCACATAATAAACACAGTATAAAAGAATTACTGCAGGAACAATGGAACTATTTCAGGTGTCCTTTACCAGCAAACAAGAAAAAAATCTAAAATTTCTTTCCTATTCTTTCTTTTAAAACCATCATGTATACCATATTTGGAAGGAGGTCAATATTGAGATTTTTGCCAAGTATAAATTATCATATTCTAATACATAAGACTTATTTATAGTATTATAATAATAATAATAGCAATGATTTATTGAGCGCTTACTATGTGCCAGGCACTGTACTAAGCATCTCGTGTAATCTCCATTTGCCACCTAATAGTACAGGCATTTCCACCCCATTTTACAGTTTAGAAAATAAAGTCTACAATAGTAAACAAACATGCCCACAGCCACACAGCTAGTAATTGACATGAGATAATTTGAAAGCAGATCTGTCTAATTCTAAGACCTAGACTGTGTGCTGACTTCTCATCCCCTAAAATCCTAAAGCTTACCTTGCAATGACGAAGTACTACTAATCCAAACATAGAGCATCCCCAACTCAGAGAATACAAAAAAGTCAATGTGCAAACCCTCACTTGAAGTTCACTCGCATTTCTCATATCACTGCCAAGTAGTCAAGCACCAACTCTGGGTACTTGTGATGGCAGGCTAACTAGCAATGCAAGGCAAAATCCATTGTCTCAACTATACTAGATTTATACTTATTATTTCCATATATGTAACTTATGTTAAGGAAATATTCTATTATCTCTTTGCATAACTTTCTATTCCACCAAAATATTATTTTCTGTTCACAACACAATTTACAACACAGACATCAAAGAAAGATCACTGAAAAGTAAGAATCCTATGTAAAATTCAGTGATAAATAGATACTACTGAAGCCTTTTATTAACTTTCATGTGGTGGCAGACATATGACTTAAATGTGCAAGTTAAACATGTTTCTCCCATGTTTCCAACTTAAGATCATAAACAAAAGGATCTTTTAAAATCAATTAGCAGCTTTCTAATCCATTTTATTTCAGTAGCTAAACTGCCCTTGCTTTCTCTCCATCCTTTTTCTTTTTCTCTGCTAATCAAGAAGAAAAAAAAAATCTATCTATATGCTTCTTCATACTGATCTCAAGAACTTGCCTAAACTGATGACAGAAACTGTATAAAACCAACTAAAATAAATGCCAAGGGTAGGAGGAAGGCTCAGTGGATAAGAATGCTTGCTCTACAAGTATGAGAACCTAAATTTCAATCACCAGAACCCACATTTACCAAAATAATCTGTAAACCCAAAGTTGAGAGATGAAGTATAAACAAGAGGGTTGGTAGGTCTTTCTGGCTGCCAGCATAGATTCAAGTTCAGTACGAGACCCGACTCAAGTGGATAGGCTGGAAAGTGTTAGAGCAAGACATCCAATGTCCTTCTGTGGCCTCCATGTCCACATGGTATATAAACCCATGTACACATATGCATATAACACACACACACACCATACAGTAGCGTACATATTCATTCACACACCCTAATGAGAATTAAATAGACATAAACTTTTTAACTTCTTCATAATTTAAAGAAAAATAAGGATATGTACTCATTTGACTGTTGTCATTAAATTCTACTTCTATCATTTAGCCTATACCAAATTTCTCTACCTTCCTATAAATTTGATTGACTTTTTGAACTGAAGTAGATTAGTGTTCTGATATTGAGCACACTACAATCTATCATTTATCCTCACTTGTGATACTTCTGAAAACTTAGTTGGATGTTGTCTTTAAAAAGAATTGGATTTATCTCAGCATTTTAATTCAAATGATTGGAGTCCGACATGAATATTTTCTATCATTGACAATCTAGATGAGTGGTTCTCAACCTGTGGTATGTGACTCCTAGGTCAAACCTCTATCTCAAAAAAATTTTAAATAAGATTAATAACAGAGGAAATCACAGTTATGAAGTAGCAATGAAAGCAATTTTATGGTTGGAGGTCACCACAACATGAGGAACTGTATTAGAGGTCCCAGCATTAGGAAGGGTGAGAACCACTGTCTAGACCATCAACATGAGGGACTGTATTAAAGGTCACAGCATTAGGAAGGGTGAGAATCACTGTCTAGACCATCAACATGAGGAAGTGTATTAAATGTCTCAGCATTAGGAAGGGTGAGAACCACTGTCTAGACCATAAACATGAGGAACCGTATTAAAGGGTCACAACATTAGGAAGGTTGAGAAGTACTGATATATACAATCCTACCCAATTAAAATAATGATCAATTTTTCTCTTTATTATATTGAGTTCTTAGTTGATGTAATTTGATTTAAAATTTTATTTCCCTAAGTCTGATAAAGTTAAGAACAACAATAGGCAAGGTGGTAATATCAATTAATGGGAGAGTTATCAGATTCTAATACACACATTCACACACACACACACACACACACACACACACACACACACACACACACATGCACGTACACGCACATACAACCCCCCTCAAGGAAGGTGTTTCCCCATTAAGAAGTTGACTATGTTTGCTCTTTATTCTATGTCACTTACACCTAACTTTTTTTTCTGGGAGTCTAAAACATATAAAGCTTGAATCACAAAGTACATTTTTACAATGCTGGGGAGTGAACCCACGGCCTCTCACTTGTCAAGCAAGGGCACTACCACTGAACTACATCCACAGTCCAAACAAACAAAAATTTCAAATATGAATACAATTTAACACTACCATTTCCCCTAGCCTCTGTGTAAGGGATAAGGTTATGACAAAGTTAAGCAATAGGGTTGATGCAAATTTCTCTAAATGTGATCATGACAGACTTAGAAGGACCTTGAAGTCCAAGATGCTGTACTCTCTTATGGAAGCTATGAAAAGTATGAAGTTACTTGAGTTAAACTGCCCATTGAACTAGAAGCAGAAAAAGTACTGAATTGATCATGTTTGCCATGTTCCCTGGGCCCAAAACTATTTCTCTTCTATTTTTCTATCTTAATTTCATTTAATCTCTAAGCAGAAAGTTACATCTAGGGCTGTGGATAGAAGCACTTGAGTTGTTTTCCAAATATATAGGTGCTGGCTCTACTGCCAGGAACACATTTCAGATATTCCTAATTTTCAGAGCTCTCTTCCCTTATTCCAAACTATAATCAGTTCTAAGTATCGCTGTGGGTCAGAGCAATGTCCAGCACTGTGACACTACTAGGTAGGTCCACAGTATCCAACAACAGGCTTTCAACTCACATGTGCTTCTGAGCTTGTTGATAATATGGACCATCTCATTCACAACTATATGAGTAAAGCCTTTAACACTGTTAGCACTTTAACAAAGGCAACATTTGGTTCATTACTGAACATATTTCTTATATTCCAAGTTGATTTTGTGCATTTTTGCCTACATTAAGTTCTTTTTTTTTTTTTACAATTTCATGCCATGACTTTTTCTTCCTCCTCTCTTCTTCCTGCTCCTCCTCCTCTATCCAGACATTTTACATCATTATCATATACAGTCAGGGTGGGATGCTCATATACAGTAGCAGTGAGAGCAGAAGATTCTAATCAGACTTCCTGTCTCTTCCCAGAAAAATTATCCAGATGAGTTCAAACTAGACCTTAGGTGAGTGACTGAGAATGTGTGTAAGTATCTAAAGGACCAGGCAGGCTGATCATATGCCTGTGACAAAATAATATTTGAGACTCTTACTTCTAGATTTGTGATTTTTTCCCTTTGTTAAATCTGCATAGGAACTTCCAAACATTCAAGATTCACTTTAACAACACTTTAGTCAAATAATGAGATTACAAAGGTGAATTAAACACTCAAACTAGAAATGAATTCTGCAGTACCTTCTGGGAATAGGAAGCATTAGCATTTCTTTTCTGGTGGATGCTCAATGTCTCAAAACACTACAGGCAGGGCAAGCATGAGAAAAGGAAGGAACTATGGAAATAATTCTACTATGAGCCATACAAGTCTTCCTCCTTGATTAGGTACCCACACAAATCTAGGTATTTATTATAAATGCACTGCCTCTCAAGATCAGTCAATACTTATCTTGCAAACTGCCACACAACAAATGAACTTATGCCAAACTAATCCCTCTAGCAAGATATGAAGTTAATTAATCAAAAGTTAAAGTAAATTTCAGGATGAAGAAGACAATGCACAGATAGCAGGCCCCTCCCACCTTGCTAGGTTCTAGAATGTGTTCCAGAAACCTTCACACTATGCATGTCAGAGGAATTTAAGACCATTGTGGTGGAGGGTAAGAGACAGAAAGGAGCAGTGCAAAAGTCCACAACAAACTGGGTTGTTAACAGAAATAAAACATCAAAGTGTGTCAGTGATATTTAACAAACTTTACATTAGCATTTGTGACTACTTTGCAATTAACTTTCTATTTTTCTCTGAGCTCATGGTGAGCATAACAATGCACTTATGACCATGTGGCTCATGACAACAGTGGTAAGGACAGAACAGAGAAAATCAGAGTCTGCTTTAGAGTATTCTTGGTCTTCTGTCTTCCGCCAGCACATGGATCACCAAGCATATCAGAGAACCACCACAGGAGGGTATTGAATCCCAAGTTTCAACTACTGGTGTGTGGCGCTGTTTAGAGGGCTGGGTGGATGGTCCACATTCCTTCTGCCCTGTTAAATAGAGAGAACAGATTTACTGACCTTGGTTGATACAGATTCATAGGGCCGTGTGTTCTCACATAAGGCTCTCTGAAGATCAATATGTACTCTACTGAAAGATCTCTTACTGCCTAATGATTTGATATGCAGAATACACACCTTAATATTCTTTGAGTTTGTGGATGCTAACCTAAGGTGACCTGCTTTTAATCGTCATTAGAGGTAATCCTACATGTAAAATATTTCTCAAGTGTATTCTCAGGATGAGAGTCAAGAGATAAATAACATCACTTAACTCCATCTCTTCAAATCCTCCATGTTTTGCCCAATGGGATATTCTCAGTTTCTTCTATGACTGGAAGAAGACACTCCGGACCAGTAACTACTGTAGTCTAAAATTCTCTCAGATTCCACTCCTGTTATTGTTCTCTTGGCTACTTTCACAGAGCTGAGCAGAGCAACTCATGAACATTGTGAGTATTCCACATCCCCATGTGGGGATGAAGGAGAAGAACTGGTCTTGGGGAAATGGAGATGATTTGCACACAACGACCAGCATCCACTATCATATGTTTTCCAGTGGTGACATTTTCCCAAATCAGCTATAATTGCAAGTCAGTATCATTTTCACGTAAATGTTGATTAACCTCAGTAGAAAAAGCACTGAAGTGCAATTCACAAAGAGTTTCTCAGTTACCTATAGTTTATAGTTTTCATTCATATAGACATAAGATAGTGTCTGGCATTCTCTTTTAAAAGAGCAACTATTTTGGAATTTGATGTGGCCAGAGTTTAGCAAGGACAGTATCAGAAACACTGGAAGAAAGCACACCTTCAACAATACCTTTTCCGGGCTTGGGGGCACTGATCTTTTTCTTCTCCTTTGCAATAGTACAAATTGGCATGCACTAACAGAAGAACAGGACCACTTCATGTACATTGCTCGTGCAAACTGCCATCTCATATATCCTACAGCTTGTCACTTTCAGGGTACTGGGCAACAACCTCATGACCGTGGCTTTCTTTGCTTTCCACTTTTTTTCTTGCAGCCCATAATGTTTCTTAAGCTTATCTGACTACCCATTTCTTGCCATAAATACTCTAAAATTTTACCTAGATACAAAGATAAATTTGAATTCAGGGATTTATCAACAGTTTATGCAAATGCAAAGAGGCCTATTCAACTTCTGCTTTAGTAGTTACAAACACAAATAAATTACTATTTTCTCTTATTTCAGCATTTCACGTTATGTATGATTTTTACAGTGATTTCAGTCTGTCCCTCGTTGCACTGTCCCTTACTGGACTCATTTTTCTTTACTTCACAAATTGGAGATTCAAAAGCAAAAATTGCCATACAGAGTTTTCACTTTTGCCATTATCAAACACGTCAAAGCATTCATTTAGTTTGCTCTCAACATCACCTTTCTTGCCTTGTTCAATCTTCATACGTTTCCATCACTCATCTTCTTGGGGGTTTTGCTTGGAGGTCCCTCTCATCCTGACTTAGACAAATTTACAGTGATCGAAAGTTCATTATCAGTGAATAGTAAATAATATTAGTTTTTAATACTTAATAACAAACGATAAAATTGATGAGACAGGCAAAAAGGGATAAACCAGCTTTTTATAACACAGGTGTATGTGCAATGACTATAGACACAGAAGGCCAAAGCACAGAAGGATGGAGCAAGTAACACAAATGGTGAAGGGTTTTAGCACATGCACAATCAGGCAATTCAGCAGTGATGATTTGAACTTGTGTATTGTTCTAAAGATCACAAAGGTGCAGCAGACACTGTACACGAAGATGTTGTATCAGAGTGACTTGCAGTTGTGAAGGGACCACAGAACTCAGGAGCCAAGGTCAGGCTACCAGTTTGAGGTGAGAATCACAAATACCACCATCTAGGAGGAAGTAGACACAGAAATGGGAGAAATCAGAATGCAGATTGCCTGAATGTATAGATTACAAGGTAACGAGGATGATGGACATTTAGAATAATACATCCCAGATCACTTTTGCAAAGGTTGTATCAACTGCACACTCACTAGCATGAGTGTGCTTTCCTCCAGTGTGCTGACCAAACTGACCCATTACCAGCCTTTGCAATTTGTACCAAACAGATGAGTAAGATTATTCCTTTAATCATCTGCACATATGTCAATATGCCAAGAGCCTCCTGTTATATAGAGCACTGCCTAAGTGAATGTAGATGCGTATTTTTATTCTTCCCCATCAATTTTATTTTTCTTTGAGAAAAAGATTAGTATTGATCAGAAATCCTCTTCTGGCAGGCTAGTTTGAAACTGGTAAGATCTAAGATGACTGCCTGAATGACCACTAAATAACTGTGAACTTCATTAATCATCCCATATGAATATTTGGACTAGGAGTGTAGCTCAGCTAGAGAAGAGAGTGAGTGCCTATCATTCAAAGTTCTAGGTTCGATATCCAACACTGAATAAAAAGCAGACATAATAGTGCATGCCGGTAACCTCAGCAGGCAGAGAATGAAGCAGGATTGGAAGTTTAAGCTTATCCTAGGCTATATAGCAAGTTCAAGGTCATCCTAGGCTATATGAGACTGAGATGCTGTCTCAAAAAAAAAATGAAAAAGAAAGAGATGGGTGGAGCGGGGGGGGGGAGGAGTAGGACAGAGAAGGGAAGAATGCCATATGCATGCTTATGATATTCCTCCATCCTGTGGCATAACTGTTGACAGCAACTATGAAAAGAATTCATGGAAAATCTGTCATTCCAAAAACAGATATATATATTTTCCCTTTTATAACCCTCATTTCTCTGCATATGTGGCAGGAATGTAAGTAAACACAATGCAACTCAGGGGCTAGAGGCTGTGATCTGGTGTCTTCCTGTACTGTGTTCTACCTTACGTTAGATAGGATTCGTCATCCTCAATTGCTATTCATTCACTTGTTTTGGGGACATAGTCTTCTACACTGGGATCATTCTCAATCTATTCCTTGAAACAGAGTTTCTCAATCAACCTCTGGGTTCACAGATTTGTCTAGATATGCTGGCTACCAAGTCCCAGGATTCCTGCCTTCACCTCCCCAGTCTTGGTGTTACAGGCATGAATTATGAAATTCCTGTGGTTGGTACGCAGCTATTTACTGACCTATTACATTTCCTTGTAGGTTTGAAAATTCTCATTAAAATGTGCCTGTGAAATAATTTGAGATTTCTTGGCTACATTTTTGGCAATAACACATATTAGTGGCTTGTCAGATTAAAGGCAAAATAAAAGATTATAATCAAAGAAGTAATCATCGGAGGGCAATCACTATGAAATCTTCACTCAGTGATTAGATGGCTAATATTAAAGGAACAAGTGACCATGAGAAGAGTTCAGCTTCATGGCAGTAATGACAACTGTTTTCTATGTCATATGCCAGAGAATTAGAAGAGAACATAAGCAGATTATGTAGAATTAATGACTAGTGGATGTTAAACTATATCACTAGGTAAGATTCCATTCAACCAGCTTTCAAATAGTACAGTATACTTTTATACATCAAAAGATTCACTTCCTATTGGAATTTCATCTTTGTCCTGGCCAAAAAAAAAAAAAAGCATAAGTATTGTTAAGAAGCTGGAGCTGTTAGCATGCAGCATGGAGACTAAGTGCTTTGAAATAAACTTCACATGTTACCATATTCCTGCTCTAAAAGCTCCACTACAAAAAGCCTTGAAGTTGTTAGGATGCTAAGAAGGAATGGTGTAATCAAGTACACTTGTTCTCAAGGCATTTTCCCCAAGCACATTTGAATCTCCAAGATTGAAAGCTTAAGGCTTTCTTATGAGAACAGGGACCCTGGCGCCCTCAGGAAGGAGAGAGCTTGACTGGCTGCTTTCTTCTGCTAGGAGTTAGAGCTCGGGAGGGTGAGGGAATAACCTCTAGAGACTTCAAGAAAGAATAAGGAGTACTTTTTAAATGCCACACCCTGTGAGGATTTGCATGGGCAAATAGGACCAAGTTAATTGCAGCCTGGCTTGGTACTGAAAGGACATAGGCTTTTAGGGGATTTGCTTTTCTATAACTACTCCGCTCTCACTTAAAGCCCTACAGACATTTAATTAGTGGCTTTAAGAAATATAGGCCCTCCCTCGTGAATCATTTAACATTTTAAACTACAATACCCAGAAATGCTAACTGACGATGAGGCTTCCACAAGGATTCTTACTCTTCTCAAAATTAATGATGTATCCACAGTGCGTGCATTACAAATAATAATAAAGACACTGTTCAGCTGAGGTTTGAAACCACAGCAACCCTTCTAAAATGGGATTCACATCCCATACGCCATGCCTCTCTGAGACCTTATGGCCTACTGA